ATATAAGGAAAAAAAAATAAGATAAACAAAAGTGGAAACTATTTGTATTTTTTAACTAAATAATAATCGGAAAATATTTTACTTTAACAATATGACAACAATATATTAACACAGTTCTTATTATTTATAAAAGAATCGCTATATTTATTACATGAACAAGTAGAACCTTTTAAGAAAATGAAATTTTCACTTCGCAAAGTAATAGTGTTGCACGCTGTATACATAAATAAAATATTTTATCTTATTTTAGGCTCGTAGGTAAGAAAAGGATTACGCACTTTTTACGACTTTCACAAAATTTATTGTGCCTCGAAACTGAATACGGAATGATTTCGGTAGATTACTTAGTTTAAGAACTCTTTGCGAATTTAGTTATGCGAGGAGAATATCCTTTTTCTTCTAAAATTATTATGCGGTTGCAAATTTTTATTTTTTATTTTATTCAAATTTCAATTATTGTTTAGTATTATTTTTAACCAAATACTTGAAGATATAGAAAAGAAAAATATGGTTGTTAAAAATGTTTACCACTTGAATTGCTAAAAATTACGATATATAGCGGGGTTGCTCTAATGATTTAATAAAAACAAATAATTTAAATATTCCACAAATTCAACTATTGGCGAAATTTATGATTTTCCTCGCAGTGCAATGTGAACGAAGATTAATCTTATTAAAAAAGTTTTTTGCCACGAAGCAAAGAATCGATTTAAATTTCGAGTTTAAACACTCTCTTCAAAACATGCCTTTTTTGCAACAGATTTAGATTCTTAACCATGAAAATATGGGTTTAGACGCCATCTGGAAGATATGGTCTTAATAATTTAGTCAGAAGAGCAATCAAAATTTTAGGTCACTTAAAATTAATGCTAGCGTAGTTCAGTATATTTCGATACTTGTAAGCAAATCGAAAACTTATTCCACACAATTATAAAACTTGTTCATAAAAGACAGACAAATACATACAAAAAATTATTTTATTGATTATTTATTATTTTTTATCATTTAACTCAGTATTAGTCGAAAACATTTTTAATTGGGTACTTGTAACCCGAGAAAAAATTAAGTGATTATGCCTAACCTTGTGATTTAAAATCAGATTGAATTGGATACCTGTAAGCGTCGTCACGCGTGTGCGTCAAACGCGCGAGTGTGTGATTGGCTTCTCAATCGACAAATGCCACGCTTTACCTTCGATGACACCTCTTGCAGGTATCAAATTATAAAATATACAAACTTTTATAACATTTTAATTTTAAATAAGAAATTACAGACCAATCACTACAATTGGTCAAATAGTTCTTGAGAAATAAAAATTTAAAAATAAAACATTTTTGAAATTAAATATTTACTTGTAAGTACTACGCACTGTACCATACCACCAATACTATCACCATTTCAGTAAGGTTTGAAGTACAAAATTCACTGTTCACTGCAATTATAGAGTGTGACCAAAGTTTCGAATTAGTCGTTTTATAGGCGATTTTCATTCTGATAATTAGCATAGGAGGTGTTTGGCTCGGAGAATGGATCACTCTATCTACAGAAATTTTACAGAAGCATTTCTCATGCTAGCGTTGGCAATGATCTCTCAACCAAACATTGGCAGTTCTCTTTCTCCCAGACATTGGCAAGGATCTTTCTTTCAAGTGTTGGCATAAATATCTCACTCAAACACTGGGGTTACGATTTCTCATCTAAATAATGGCAATAACTTCGCATCCAGGAAACCAAATACATTAGAAAGCTAACATTTGCTTCCCTGTCAAATTCAACCCTAAGAGCAAAGTTAAATTTTATTAACAAAACTGAAATAAGCGTTTTTATTTAGAAAACGGAAAAAAATTACAAGAATTAAAAAAAAACTTTTTTTTACACGAGGTACGAATTGTATAATTTGTTATCGTTTATTTTTAAAAGTTTCTTTGATGAGGGTAAATATTTTAACGTCCTCGGTAATACAAAAAACACTGGCAAAGCAGTAAAAAAAAACAATCTTTTTATTTAATTATACCAAGCAAATGGAATAATTTTATTAAAAATACCAAGAAATGTTAAGTTCTTTTGTTATCGTCCAAACCCTATTTAAAAAGAGATTGCAACACCATATCATATTCATGAGCTTGAATTATGCCCGGCACGAGAGTTCTATTTAATCGCGTTTTGCATTATTAATTAAAAAAGCTTAGATAATTTTCTCTCCTCGAAAAAAAATGCTTTTGCCTCCTTCTCTGGTGCTTTAATTTCATACTTAAATCATCTCAAAAACTGCGCTTTAAATGCACTACTATCTCGTCATATTTACCCAACTTCACGTGAGCCTAATTAAGTTTTATCTAGCGACTAAAAGGGAAAGGGCATTTTTGTAATTAAAAGAAGTCGACTTTTACATAATTAAGAGCTCTGATGGTGAGGGATTACGAAGGAAAATCAACGAAAGAAAATTTAACTGAAAAGATAATGAGTACAGAAAAAAAAAGAAAGCTAAACGGAGAACGGTTGGGAATTCGTGAATTCCATCAATCATCTTAATAATTGATTACTCAAAAACAAGCAGTTTTTATTATTGATAGTCAATATAAAATATAGTTAAAAAATAATAAATAAGTAATTAATTCTTAAACTGCATTATAATTGCAGTAATTATACTTTAAAGTAAGATTCTTGCATTTTGAAAAATGACATTTGCAATTTCAAAATGTGTTCGGAAGAAGTTGCGCATTTCTGCTCGATTCGGAACTATAATTAATAATTCAGTATTGTAATAATGTAGAAATATTTTAGAAAGATACCCATTCTTGCTTTTTTATAATTAAATTACAATTAAAATCTTCCAAACAATACAAATTTCAATAATAAAGAAAAAGTCTTCAAAAAGAATTCACGTGCTAGTAAAAATTTATTAAAAAAAATCACAATTAAAGAATGTGATTAACTATTTATATTATTTTAATGTAAACACAAAAACTGAATATTGCATGTAACTAAATCAATCAGCGACTAGTAGAAACTCAATCTTAAATGTTATTTCTGTACAGAGATAAACAATCAATATTTTTTTTTCTCATCTCTACACCGTTGAATTGTATTTTAATATAAGATTCACAATCGGATGCTTGCAGGTGACGTCATCGTAGGTAAATCGTGGCATTCGTCGATTCAGAAACCAATCAGATTCGACACACACGCGCTTACAAGTATTCAATTAAATGTAATTCAAATGACATGGTTAAGCAAATCACTTCAGTTCATCTCGAGCTGCAAGTACCCAATTGTCAACATATATTACATTACTGGGTAAGGTAGAATGATTTTTCAAAATTCGGCATGCAATAGCAACCTACATAAAAAACATTTTAAAAAATGAAATTGTTTGCATACCCACTTATATAGTTTCAATTCAACATTTGTTTGCTTTATATTTTACATTAAGTTACATTTAGTTTCTCAATTTAAGACGTGCATGTTATTTGTTTATAAAAGATTAAGTTCAATCACAGGGATATTTCGCATGCGACTAATGATTGTACATGTTTAAAGTTTATGACTTTGACTTTAATCACATAGATTAATTTGACTTCAAATTTTATTAAAAAGATAAACGTTCCCTATATAATTAAATGGGGTGTTAACACCTTCAGTTATTCACAGACTACATATAACTAAAGGTAATTGTACCATGCCTTTACCCACGTCAGGCAAAGCGATCTACGAAAGTCACAAGTTGTAACTTTTTGATTACTTTGAACTATTTCACTATCAGCATTTGCTGATAGTGAAATAGTTAATAGAAATAGTAGCAGCATAGGATTCATAAGAGAACGTGGCATTTGCTTGCCGGGGTCTTGACAAATCCGATATTCACAGAAACTCTTACTCAAATTTCTCACTTCCGATTGTCCTAGAAAGTGTTCGCCAGAAACAGTAAACACCATACGAATAAGTTCACATTAAGCAAACTTTCTGCCTATCAAAATCGTAATAGTGTACGTTGAACTATTTTAAGAGCATTAATCTCATGACTGAACATTTATATTCATCTTAAATGCTCTCAAACAAACTATTTCATCACTTATATCTGAGTTGGAGAGTTAGATCTCAAGTGGACCTGTTTTCATATCTATTCCCAATTTAATATTTCCACAGTTTACAAAATTAAGGGTAGGGGTGAAACTTTCCAGTTATGTTTCAGGACAATTTTCAGAAATAGAAAGATGTATAAAAAAATGCAGAAAGATTTCAGATTGGAGAACTGACACAATAGTTTTAAGTGAGGATTCAAATTGTGATCAGAAAACGTTCAAGTTTACTCCACGTCAGCATAGTTTTTATAGCAACAAATAAAGATTTTGTGTAGATGCTTTATAAATAAATGTTAGACAGGTGTAAAAATTTAAAATATTTTGAAAAAATAGTTTTAGAATTATTGCAGATTTCAAAAAAATGTAATAATTTAAATTTCTATTCCATCACAAATTTCAATAAACTTACTTCGTAATCCCTGTTTAGCTGAATTTATCGTAATTTTACAACTACTATTAGAAATAAAAACATAACGTTTATAGGCAAAAACACAAATTTTCAAATTTGGTTGCGTTAGGTATTTTAAGAAAAGTTTTTTTAAAATAAAACAAATGTGCTGCTAATTTTAAAAATCTAAAACTTTTCATTGTACATGATTTATTTAATAGAAAAATCAACACAAAATCTGGGGACGAAATTTCTTTACTTTTTAAAAAATTATGTCCCATTAAACTTGAATTTCCTTTGCTTATGATAATTTCTCATATGCTCTACGTTATTATTACAATATAAAATTTCTCCATCTGAAACTTTCGCCGAGCTTAGATTTTTAGATACATACTAAAATGTGTACCGAGTTTCATTAAAATGAAAATTGCAAAATAGATATGGATCTGATAACTGATTCACTTGATATAGAATAAAAATCATAATAACTGTATTAAATGTTATTACTAAAATTTAACATTTTATTTCAGGCAACAGTTGAGTATTTCAACAATGGATTGAAAAGCTATGTCCTGTGAACAGAGTATGGACCGCAGTCGTGGTCCGAAATGAAAGATCCATTTTTGATACATCTGCTCTTCCTGCTGCCACCGCTTCTCCATCAAGCAATTGCCACTACAGTCACCACGCCAGTAGCCCCATGCCCAAGTTCCTGCAGCTGCTCCTCTCAGATCTTCAGTTTCCTCGGTAACGTCAGTTTGAAGACCACCAACTGTACCAAACATCGCTTAACTTCTGTCCCAGAAGGAATACCGCCAGAGACGAATGCTCTAATCCTACAAAGCAACAATCTGACTGATCTCTACAATCAACTACCTCCACTAAATAGTCTTTTGTTGCTAGACTTGTCCCACAATCAAATCAAACAACTCGGCCGAGGTCTTATTTTCCACAACTTTACAAATTTACAAGTTCTTAATTTGTCCTATAATGACTTCAGGACAGTTTTTAACGGAGTTTTTAGAGGCATCCATCGATTGCGCATACTGGTCATGACACATGTACAGATAAAATTCATTGAAGAGCATGTTTTTGATGGATTGCGAGAACTACGTCGCTTGAACCTTGATCACAATCAATTGAATGCCATATTTCCAGAATGGTTCAAGGAACTTCCAAAACTGGAAGAATTGCACCTTGAAAACAATCACATTTCTTACATTAATAGCGGCTCTTTTACGGCACTGGGCAATCTCCGAAAGCTTTCACTTAGCGGTAACAAAATTCGCGGCGTCAGCGACCACGCATTCGATGGACTGGAGAATCTAACTTCCCTTTATATCGAGGATAATCAACTCTTCAAAGTACCATCAACGTCTCTCCAGGCAACTAAAAATCTTAAAATCCTGAAATTAGGAGGAAACTTTTTTCCACAGCTGCATACGGGTGATTTTGTCCACCTAACACTCGAAGAAGCTTTTGTGGAAAACATTGCAGATTTGACTCTTATCGACCGAGGTGCCTTTTGGGATTTACCATACCTAAAAACTTTGCATTTACACCACAACACGAAGCTCCAGTTCGTGGACTCCCACGCATTCATAAATGTCCCGAACCTAAGGATTTTGTCCCTACACGGTAGCAACTTAACAGCCATCAACCGAGATGTAATCAAAACGTTTCTAAAACCTTTGCAAATAAGTCTTTATGATAACCCCCTTCTATGTGACTGTAACATAAAATGGATACACGAAATGTTATGTAGCAATGCAAGTCGAATTGAGATCCTCAATTCAGACATCATGACGTGTGATCAACCTTCAGAGTTTCACAAAACCCCGGTAAAAGACTTGAAGGCCTCGCAAATACCTGACACGTGCCAACCTTTTCTTGTGGGACCCTCCAACATTACAGTTGATAAAAAGATAGGAGAAAAATACATCTTTCAATGCAGAGCAAACGGCATACCCGTCCCAAACATCCACTGGATTTTACCGAATGGCGCTGTCCTTAACCAAACGTCCAATGATATTCATATCCAGTTTAAGAACACTGGCAGCCTGGAGCTATATCACATAAAGCCCAAAGATTCGGGAACGTATACTTGCATAGCAGAAAACCCCATGGGTGAAGTTGTAGCCGTCACTAACTTAATCGTTGAAAATATAGACATTAACATTTTTGCTTTGGGTATAGCGTCCACTTTCGTGACCGTCGTGTGGAACGGTACAGCTAGAAATTCCTTCCCTGAGTATGAAATAATATATCGAAGGGAAAATGGCACGAATACGAAAAAAGAATACCAATCAGTGACAGTGAGTCAGTTCTTTCGCTCCTACACCATAAACAATCTTCAGCCAAAAAGTACTTATAAATTCTGCATCGGCGTCAAGAATAAAGAAGACAGACAGTACGTGCAATTTTCTTGCACTTCAGCCCGCACTAAAGATGAAAGCTTCATGATGCAGGGCATACACCACACTAGCAATGTCGCTGTAGCTGCAGTTCTGGGTATCATCACCACCATGATGGTAGTCGTGTGTGTCGTCACAGTTGCCGCCAGGAAATATCGCCAAAGACAATACGACACACCCGAAAAATCACTGGTAAGCAATATGGCTCAAATACCTATGGAAAATCTACATAGTCCACTGATGTCTCATGTAGGATCGTGAACAAATATTATAGTGAAGTATAATATATAGCATGAAAACGCATAAATGCCACGTCCTTAAAATAGCCCAAGCTAAAGCGCCATTGTATGTAAATGCTTTATATAAAGAATTACTTTAGAATACCAGTGCAACAAGGGAAGGCTATCCGTTGTTCCATGATGTTTCCCTTAAAACAAACTCATTGCCTAGCAACGATAATGCAGGGTTACCAAATCGGGGAATTTGCTCTCAGGCGTAGAGTAAAATTTTCGCACCAAGTAAATTTGAAAAAGGCATATATAGTCTATGCCTTTTTCTATCGATGGAAAGAACTCATTTCGCCATTCGTTTAGACAGTGTCGGTGACTATGGTTACGAGGTTCAACTATTTCCAGTAGGGTAATAAGTCAATATTTAAGACAGATTTTGGGTCACGTGGGAGAGATAAGCTGAATCAGGACCGAGTGAAGCTCCCCTCTTTGAAACGTGCTATTTCTTGTTTCCATAGCAGCATAGACTTTTTGTGGCGAGGGGAGTTCCTTCTACATACAAACAATGTTTATTATTATTATTACTATTATTTTGGTGCTGATTTTAGGGAAAACATTCACAACTTTGCAAAAATTTGAAGCAATAAGAGGACAAAAATAATTTTAAAAAAACTTAAGCTATTTTGCGTCATCATAAATTAGGGCATCATAAAGTTAGTTTTTTTTTTGTTGATGTTTTTGGCAATATTATTTCTCAGTTTTCGGGGAGGATATTGTTAAAACAGTTGGTAAGAATACTTTGCAGCAAAATTTTGCAATCAAAATAAAGATTTTTTTTTTTTATTCATCTCTTTGCCGTTGCTAGGCAACGCTCTATCATCGCTAGATCATTACTATGATGAATTTCTATCTGGACAGCGGACATGATTCCCTTGAAAGAGTAAGTTTTTAAAAAAGAACATTTGAATCACATTAGAATTTTTTAGAAAAGCTAAAGTAGCGCAAACACATATTAAAATAATTTTGTTTAGATGTTTTGTTAAAATGTTTGTACATTAGATGAAGCTTGTACTGTATAGTGAAATTTTATTTTTCAATGGTGAATATTCACATCAAAAGTTGTTTCAAACGTTGTTTGTGAGATGAAAAATTATTGAGGTACTTAATCTCAAATTATTTAATATATAAGACACATTGTTATACATTATAAATTTTTAAAAGTTAAATGAATTTCTTAATCAAATTTCATGATTGAAGAATCTACGATAAACAGGCAGCTAATCATGTTTATGTGTAAAATGTTATGTATTGAAATATATTTTCGAAAAATTCCATAATTTATGTATGTATACTGGAGCAAAAATGGCCAGCAAAATGTAATATGTTCAGATTAATAAATACACCTTTTATTTGTTTTACATTATTATTTAAGAAAAATATTGAGACTTATTTGTAAAAACAATAACCAACTTTTTTTAATTCCTATTTAAACAATAAAGACAAATCATAATACCAGGAAAATTTTTATAATAAATAGTAGGTTAAACTTTGGACATTTAAAAACCACATTAAAATCTATAACTGCAAACAAACTTTTCACATTAAACCAAACTATGCCACACTAAGCCAAATAGAATTAAAAATTACAATAGAATTAAAAATTACAATGTAAGAAAATAAAAATAATTTAAATGCTTACTTCAGGCACAAAAATCGTTATACAAACCAAATATTGTAATTGAAATAAAATTAAACACAATTGTAAACAATTACGAGTGGTTTTAAAAATATGCTTAGCTGTTTAGGAATGTTTTTAAGCAAATTAATATTTTTATAACGATTTTCCTTCGTTTCTCTAAATGCAGTTTTATCGATATTTTTTATATAAAAATGAAATAATTTCTTAATATTCTTATAAATTTTTAAAAGGAAATGTAAAATAAAAGTTTTAACAACAAACATAATTTACAATATTGTGAGGGAAGTCAAAGGTTTATCTTTTTCTCGCAATTATTTTGGAAAAAGTTATAAAAGGAATAATTTTATTACAATTTAGTTTAAAAAATACATATACACTAGGTACACAGAACAATAGTTCGAATACTTTGCAATATAATTTTAATTATTTACACTTTAAAAAAATTTATTTAATCTCAATACTTTACGTTAAATTTTTACTGTTTAAAAACAAGTTCCTTTTTATAACCTTATGTTCCAAAAATAATTGATCAATCGAAAATTCAAGGAAAACGGAATAACATAGAAATGCAAGTTTTACAACGTTCTTTTTAAGAAACTAGAAACTAATTCTCAACATCTTTCAAAATTAATTACAAAGTTCGTCTCTAGATAGCACTGATGACAGAAAAAAAATTCCAACAAATGAGTGCTATTTCGAAACAATCCTTTACAATTTTTTTCCTCGTAACTAATTTTAAAATTTAAAATAAAAAGTGATTCCGAAAATTGTGAGAAATAGTGAGGTGTTTCCGAAGCAGCACTCAGCAAATTGTACAATTTCTGTATATCTCCTTCCACTTTCCTTGAATAGATTTTTAAACCATTAGCTATTTTTGCAACACCAGATAATTAATGCTTATACAATTGGGTACCTAAAACTCGAGAAGAAGTGAGGTGATTAGGCCTAACTATGTGATTTAAGTCAGATTTAATTGGATACCTGTAAGCGACATCACCTGTACGTGTCGAGCCTGATTGGCTTCTGAATCGACAAATGCCACGACATACCTACAATGAAGTTACTTGCAAGTATCAACTTCTTTAAAAGCATTTTATTGAATATTTCTAATGGTACTCCATAGAAACATTTCTTGGAGTCTTCATTTAAAAATAAAAGATAAGAAGAAAAAAAAGTGGCATAAATTATACCTTAAAATTGAACTGAGTCAAAAGTTTAGGAATCGCTTCATCACTATCTACTGCAAAATGTAGTTTAGATAGATTAAAGGATAAATGTAGAAGCAACTTAAAAGCATTGTTCAAAATTTAATACAAATAAAATTCTACCTTTTACATGCTTATTTGAAAGAGAAACTAAATGATTTTCGAATCTCACTTCCGCTTAATACAACCAATGAAACTAATAAAATGAATAATTATTGCTGATAAAACTACATTAACCTTCTTTTACAAAAATTTACTTTCATACTGTAAAGTTACGTCCCAAAAAAGAGCATCAAACATTTTACATCATTTCAAACCAATCTGACATTCATATAATACTTTTACAAGTTTGGATTAATTTAAGCACAAATATTTAATTAAATACATTTATAAGTTGATGCTTGATTCCATAATGAAGTGGGTTTAGTTCCAAAACTGTTAGAACAATTTAGCATCCTCTAAAAAAAATATCATTATAAATGTAACAAAGGATATCGCGAATGAACTTTTATCATTAGTCTCTTCTCTTTGTTAAACTTTTTAGGGGAAAAAGTTTTAACTTCAACAAAGTTTTCACAAAAGATTTATCTAATGGTGATTTTGAATGCGATGTGTAAATGAACCTTGCAAGAAAGACAATAGAGTTAGAAAGCGGTGAGCATCACTACCATTAGACAATTCAAAGAGATAAAAAAAAAAACTACTAGAAACACACGATGGTTAAATATGTTACATTAAGAGGAAACAACACAGAGGTCATTAAGAAAAGGATTATTTCAATGAAATTTGCGTCGATGCAATACAAAATTTTTCACAAAACAGCGCTATATATATATATATATANTGGAATATATATATATATATATATAGTGCAGCATGTCCTTTTGTGGACCTTGTGTCATTAAACCCTACATTCAATTCAACATATAAATATATCCGCATATGGAATAAAACAAAAGCAACTGGGCTTGTGACCATATTGGTTGGACCCAAGACGACTGGAAAACAGTAGCTTGGTCAGATGAGTCACGATTTTAGCTGGTCAAAGCTGATGGAAGAGCTCGAGTGTAGCGCAGAACCCACGAAGCCATGGACCCAAGTTGTTAACAAGGCACTGTGCAATCTGGTGGTGGCTCCATAATGTTTTGGGCTGCTTTTTCATGGCATGGACTGGGTTCTATGGTCTGATTGCATAGATCAGTGACTGTAAATGGTTATATGTTCAGTTACTTGGAGACCACTTGCAACCATTCATGGGCATTCAAACAACGATAGAATTTTTATGGATGACAATGCGCCGCTTCACCATGCCATAATTGTCTGCGACTGTTTTGAAGAACATTCTGGACAATTCTGGCGGAAGATTCGGCCTCCTAAATCATCTGATATGAAGCTTATCGATAGGTTAATTCGCGAACAAAATCCTGCAATCGCAACTTTGCAGTTATGGACATCCATTGAGGTTGCATATTCCTACAAGAGAGTTCCAATTACTTGTTGAGTCCATGCCACATCGAGTTGCTACACTTCGTGGAGCTAGAGGAGGTCCGACACAATATTAAGAGATATCCTATGACTTTTGTCACCTCAGTGTATAATGCAGTACCTACAAACTATCGTTTCGGTATAATAAAGTATTTCTATTTCTTGTGTTTTGTTTTGTAAGAAGCTAATTCATTACAGTACTAAAATGATTATGTTTGTTAACTCTGACATTTCGCTATTTTTTTTCCTTTGTTTCAATTTTATTTCACTATTTGCTTTGTTTTCCTAAATTTTTTAAGGGTCGTTTAAAATCGTAAGTAAACATATTTTTGATCACCCTTTTAAACTCCCCCCTCTCGTCAACAAAAATAAGCAAAAGGCAAAAATCTACATTTGCGCTATGTTTTTTCATCGCAAAATGTAAACCTAACCAATTTAAAAACTTTCAAAATTTTCGAGGTTTTTGTTACCAGATTTAAGGAGAACTTTTTGACCGGATGTAATGTTGTCGTTTTTTTTTTTTTTTTTTTTTTTTTTTTTTTTTTTTTTTTTTTTTTTTTTTAAAACTGGTTTTTCCTTCCTCTTATTTGCAAAAATAAGAAAATCGCGAAATCCCACCTAAGGCGCTTCTTAATATTTAAAAAAGATTCTAATTTGCATTTTTTAATAATTTCACTCAAGTTTTGACACTATCTTCCTCACGATCGATGTTACAATAAACTACCAAATTTCATCCTATTTGATGCATCAGATTTCGTGTCTCACAACAACTAAGCTATTTTTGGATCACAATATGAGGAGGATGCTTCATATTATCATGATTGAGAAGATTTAATTAAGGAGTGCTTGAAGGATTAGAACCTAAAAGCTTAGTCACACCGGAAAGGTTCATATCCAAACACAAATTAATCAGTGCGAAAAAGGAATGTTTTAAAATATTTTTACAGGTCGCCCGTGAGTTTTTATGATCTGTACATATCTCAAAATTCGTGTTTACGAAAATGGACAAAACTCAAAATGCGTGATTACGAAAATGGAAGGAAAAAAAACTCATAATACATGTTTACGAAAATAAACACTGCTCGAAATTCGTGTTTAATAAAATGAACGCAGCACGAAATGCGTGTTTACGAAAACGGACAAAGCTCAAAATACGTGTTTACAAATATGAGCATTAGGGAAAAATGAGCCTTTTCAGTTTTCAACCCACATTCAACTACTAAGCGAGGAATTTCACGCAGACGAATTATTTTTTAATACAATCATATTAAATATGAATTGTCATCAAGCATAAATATTCTTAACTTCAAAAACAAAGTCACCTAAATCTTATAACAATTCTGAAAGTGCTCCAAGCAAAACAAAGCCGTGAAGTCCCAAAATTATAGACTATAGCAGGCAAGAACAAATAATTGAGAAAACTGAACAGAATACGAATTATCTTTAATTCCCAGATTCCGATTCAGCTCACAATCATCGGAAGAAATAACACAGATGGTTGAACGTTGCCATTCTTGGCACACAAATTCTTTTGAAAGTGTGTAAAATGACATAACAATGATACATACTCTCAATTTTTTTTTTTCAGAAGAAAATTGCTTCAAAATAAGAGACATAACATTAAAAAAAAGTATAAAATTTGGAACTTATATCCCAATTAATTAAACAAACAAAATGAATTACTAAAACAATTATTCCAAACTACAGAAGCAAATAACATTTAACTAATACAGGACCTTAAAAATCATCAGCATTTCGAAAAATATTGTTTTCTGTCTAAAACTTAAAAAGTATGTGTGTTTGCCATTCGACATAGAAATTTTTATTAATACAAAAATACTTTAAAATATAGGGATGTTTAAGTCAGAGGCTGACCTAGATCAGTGTTACATGATCATTCAATCAATTTCAGTTTGCCCTATTTGTATTGGACGTTGGCTACATCTGTAACTGCGTGATCGTTGATGGATTTGCAGTGGACAGTTAAGTGAAGTAACTACAGCTTGGATATCATTATATCGTCAACCGT